TGGTGTCATTTACAAATTTGATGAGGGCGCACTCAATCTCCTCATCCAGATCACTGACAAAGATATTAAAGAGGACCATCCCCAACACTGACCTGTGGGAAACACCACTCGTGACTGCTCTCCAGCTGCACTGAACTCCATTCAGCACCACTCTCTGGGCCCGGCCATCCAGCCAGTTTTTCACCCAGGGAAGAGTACACCTGTCTAAGCCATGAGCTGCCAGCTTCTCCAAGAGAAGGCAGTGGGAGACTGTGTCCAAGGCCGTACTGAAGTCAAAGCAGACCAAGTCCAAAAGACCACTTGTTTCAGGCTCATCAGAATGATGAGGAGAGAAGGTGTGTAACACAGGGGAAATGGGCAGAACTGACCCCAGGATGTAGAGGCAGCACTGCTGGTACATGTCCTCTGTCAGCATTATTTACCTCTTCCCTGGCTTTCCTGTTTGCCGTGTTTGGATGCTCTGGGAAGTACTGGCCTGATTTCTACCGGAATGGTGGCAGTAATATTTGGCTAGACCTACAGAATTGTCTGATGGGGCAATAGAGCTAGGCATAAAAGATAAATGGAGCCATTACTTTTGTCAGTGGAAAGTTCTTCTTTATGAGACACTGGTGACATGTTAGATTTTTGGCTGGTGGGACTTCAGGTTGCCTTGGATGTACATCTCTTAAGAAGGTAGCGTTCTATGTTGTAAGATTGCCTCTGGCGGAGAGTACAGGGAAGGAGGTTTTTGTAGACTATAAGGGACAACACATAAGAGAAGTAGGACTCATTTCTGACCCTCAATCCATGGACTAGTTGCCTTCCATATCCTCCTGATTCTCCCCAAGGATTCAGTCATTATAGAATATCTACTCTCAGTCTAGGGCAGACAGAAGCAGACACACCACTCTTACCACGTTGCCGAGACATGTCCTCAGGTGTTCTGCTTTCCTTGGCTTTTCTCTCCGAGCTAAGTCTGCAATGCAAGGCCAAAATGTTAACACTATCATAGGAGTGATGTTTCCTTCTGGCATGCTGCTCACTGACTCGCAACACAGAGTACAAACCAGGCCCCAACTCCTACTTCTCCCAGTAGGAGTTGTCTTGTGTATGCCCAAGTAGGGAATGGAAGACAATGAGTACAATCCAATGAATTTAGGATTGGCCACTCTCCTGTCATGAGCGACATCTTGACTCCAGTGTAGTTAACTGCCTGACAATTTAGTTGTGTGCAATTGTTTTCCTTAGTCCAGCTTACTCAAGGCATTTTTTGTGTCTGCAGGATGCAGAGGAAGGTATTTGGCCCAAGACACATTTTTTCCATAGGCACAGAGTAATGAAAACCTTGTCCAAGTGGAAACTTGATGAGATTAACTCTTGTCCTGGCTGCTGACAGCACC